AATACTGGTTATAATCAACTTGATTTACCATCGAGCTCTAACACTTATGCACTTAACAGTAATCATTTATAATTGTTTCTCTTACCACAAACGTCCTCAGAAATTTTAAATCTGTATACATAGTTTATTTGGCATCAACTCAAATATATATCCTTTCAGTTATATGATATATTCACGTTTAATTTACAAACGAAATTTCTGACTTGTAACCTATGCATAATAATTATTAGACAATTAATTAATTTACTAAACGTATAATAATATAAGATGTGATAGTGATTGAAGGTAGTCAACAGGAAACCCGGGTCCAGGGTTTCCTGTTGACTACCTTCAATCACCATCTTATCTCAACATAGTGCATGCAGTGTCGAGTCACCTAAACTAGTGGCCACATTACAACTTGGTTGATAGCATTCGATCTGCACTAAGAAGGAATTGACACACATGACATTGATCACCACCCAGTGACCAATCAATGTGAATATAAGATGTCTTCAGTGTAATTTGCTAATTACTCCTGAACTAACAATCATCTCATGACAGTTCTAATTCTAGATAAACCAACAAAACGAAAACAACACAACCCACATAAACAGCTGAATAAAACTACAAATATAATGAGAGAAGAGTTTTAAGAATGAAAGGTGAGTGAATTGATAAGAAAAATAAACAAATAACTCAAATTTAATAATTTCGATTATATTTTTGATACATTTTTTTTGCAAAGAACCCATATTCACAAAATAGAAACAGTAACTTGATTTAAAAAATTGGTATACCTGAGCAACACACAATCGTGATTTCAGAGTTCCAATAAAGTTTTGAATTGCCGAATATGATATAACACCGGATTTTTCTCCTCTGAAAATGAAAGGAGATAAATAATTTTGATAAGACAGATAATTTAAGACAATAATAATCTGATACAAGGAGTGTAAGAACATTGATGCTTTTATTATAGTGAACAAGAACACCAATGTAGTACAATCGAATGTATTTAACACAAAATTACAGGACTTTTTAATAAAATCTAACAATCATAAAGTAAATGCTTAATTTGCAAAATGTCTATCGATTGTCTCAAAATGACTCAGACTTCATTGTTCTTGCATTTCCATACAAATCGCATCCTGTTTCCATTCTTTACTGTTCGACCCTGTTGTCTCCCTGCTGCCAGACCTTCTGTTCACGGCTAACATCACATACTACTTACGTCGATATAATTAGCACAGACCACATTACTACTATTGTTACTACTGAATAGTTCAGGTAAACTGATAGAATGACAACCAATTTTATAAACATTAAAAGAAATAGGGAAATAGACATGCTTTCTTCAAGTTGCCCAAAGAGAAAAACTTAATGTTCACAATGAGTAAATCTCTTATCAATTTATGTTCTAGTTTAGTAAAACTTTTTGCAATACATGGACTGTTTAGGTTTGCATAATCAGTGATTAGTAATTTAAAATCTGGTATAAATGCTGACTTGCCCAAAATGCTTCAGCACCTCACATCAATAGAGAGGGAGAAAATTTCCAAAATGGGATGAAAATAAAGTACTGGGAAACATTATCAACCCTAACAGAAGTCTAGCCATAAGAAATATAGTTTAAAATGAACGAACCGGATGAAAGGATGGGAAGTTGGGGATGTCAATTGATTCAAGCTTTTGAGGAAAATAGAGAATGAGTACAACTATACCACAGTAACCAGCTTTGACTCAAGTTACCCTATATCACCAACTAGTGATTAAGGGTATTGTGTAAAGCCAGCTAGGAAGTCTGGACCTTAGAGACGAAGTAGGCTTTAGCATGCTGAATTCTTCCTTTGTTTAAACAACGGGAATAACCTATTTGGATTGAGGTGCAATAAAATGTCTTTATGAACAATAAGCAGCCGGTTGACATTGACCACCTTCAACAAGTTTCAGTTAAATACGTGGAACAACATGACTTTCTGTCAAACCTCATGGTTAGAAACATAACAACTGGTTATCTTGTAGCATTAGTAGAAAATCTAATGTTTCAGTGTGTTTTAAATTCACTTTTATAAATATGAATAAGCAAAGAACCTTTCTGAAGACTGTCGTAGTAATTGGTTTACTTAATTGACCAGATTCACTGTTAACTCTTATGTGGAATGCTGATTGTAATAAAGGCAGATTTTACTTTAGTTTTGATTGTAGACTGAAATTTTATGGGAACTCAGAAAAACCAAAGTGCACTAAACAGCCACCCAGTCCTAGTTTGAAAGTAATCATCAGCATTCATACATCAGGGATCGAATCAAGGAATTCCTGACCTTCTTGGTAGTGAGCACGATACCTATAAACTACTAAGTCAAAATACATATCATAATATGTCTCACTCTTCATCCAGCTGGATCAAGTTTGTTATGACCCATCATTGGAACCTCAGAAGTTCTTCTCGAACCTAGTTACTAATGCGTAGGTAGTTATTATCTCAATAAATGATTGAATGAAGATACTTCGGTTAGAGGTGATGAACGCACATTACTTTTACTGTTGAATCACAAAACAGGAAGAAAGCGCTGTTCAAAAATACCCGCAGTCCAGCGGTTCTTAGAGCTGTTATTAATTCCTAGTAGGAACTAACTTCAAAATGAACAATCTTTACAAAACCCCTACCTTAACAAATAAAGGTTTACCAGATCAATAAATGACGCTTTTCATAAAATCAGTATGATTTCTGATTTAGTATTTGTTCTCTAAATGAAATCTAATTTATGACTTACGCTAGCATTGGTCAATAATTCCGAGAAAATAAATGATAAATTAGTTTGAATACATAAGTAAATAACGCTCAAAATATTAACATTAGGATACATCATTGTAATCCAAGGAATTTGCGTCAATTATGAAGTGTCTTATTAATAATGAATTATAATTCAAATTCTAACAGTCATGTGCGAGGGAATTATACTTTTTTGAATCAAGTGAAAGATGGTATGAAGTCACTTAAGAAAAAATTACCCTCCCACTTTGACAGCAACATATAGTCGTCAGCATACAAATGGTAATTCTAAAAGGTTGTTAAACATGAATGAAAAGATAATGTGGTGTGTGCTTCTGATGTCGGCAGATATAAGTAGTATGTATCATCAATCGAAAGTGAAGCGTCTGTAGGCCGAAGGTTAGGAAGATCGAAGAGAAGAGAACGAGAACAGTGAATGATTGGTGTGGAAACAAAGAAACGATCAACTCTGTGACGATTGATTGACATTTTGCAAATGAAGTGTTTACTGTATGAATAAAATAATATATTTGTAATATCCCAATGAGTAGAAAACTTAGATTAACTCCACCTGTAGCTCTTCTAGAGTTATTACCGGTTCCAAGCCCGGGTAAAGGAGGAGGGTTGAGCATGGGGTTAGCAACCCCATCCTGTAGGAAACTAACCCGCTAAAAAACTAATTAAAAAAAACAGTTCAAACCATTTAAACTCTACCCTGGGAGCTAGAACGTCTTCACTTAGAAGAACTATGATGCCTCATGATGAAAGCCGAGTTCCTTCGGAAGTCACAAGGCCGATTCCCCTTCTAACAACCAGAGCAACAACTTTTATAGGTACATGGAACGTCCGAACAATGTGGAAGACCGGGAAGACCATTCAAATAGCAACGGAAATGAGGAGATACAGTACCGGGAATCAGCGAAACCCATTGGACTCAAGCTGGACAGCAAAGGCTTAATACGGGAGAGATGCTACTATACTCCGGTCACGAAGAGGAAAATGATCCACACACCCAGGGAGTTACTCTAATGATGTCCAAAGTAGCACGAAATACACTTGTAGGATGGGAATCTTACGGATCCAGAATCATCAAAGCATCATTCAAAACAAAGAAGGAGGGGATCACAATGAATATTATTCAATGTTATGCACCCACCAATGATAGCAATGACGACATTAAAGACCAATTCTATGAGCGGCTGCAATCAATCATAGAGAAGTGCCCAAGAAAGGACCTCACCATTCTAATGGGAGGTATAAATGCCAAAGTCGGAATAGACGACACTGGATATGAAGATATTATGGGACGACATGGACTGGGAGAGAGAAACGAAAATGGAGAAAGATTTGAAAATCTGTGTGCATTCAACAAATTGGTCATAGGTGGCACAATATTTCCACACAAACGTATACACAAAGCTACATGGATCTCATCGGGCCACACCACAGAGAATCAGATAGATCATATTTGCATCAACAAAAAATTCCGAAGGACAATGGAAGATGTGAGAACCAGGAGAGGAGCTGACATAGCTTCAGATCACCATCTAGTTGTGGCCATTTTAAAACTGAAGCTAAAGAAGAACTGGACAACTGGACAAACAGCAATACAAAGGTTTAATACAACCTTCCTTCGAGATACTGACAAACTCAATGAATTCAAGATAGCTCTCAACAACAGATTCCAAGCCTTAAACGATCTACTGAAGGAAGAAGAAACTACTATGGAGGACAACTGGAAAAGTATCAAAGAAGCATTAACTTCAACGTGTCAAAAGGTTCTGGGCGGCAAGAAGCATCATCATAAGGAGTGGATCTCTATAGAAACACTGGGCAAGATTAAAGAAAGAAAGAACAAGAAAATAGCAATTAACAACAGCCGAACACGAGCATAGAAAGACCAAGCACAAGCTGAGTACATAGAAGCAAACGAGCAAGTGAAGAGGGGCATTAGAGCCGACAAGAAGAAATACGTGGAATAACTAGCAACGACGGAGGAAAAAGCTGTAAGAGAAGGAAATATGAAACAGCTTCACAATACAACGAAGAAACTAGCAGGGAAATGCAGTAAACCAGAGGGACCGGTCAAGGACAAAGAAGGCAGGCCAATCACTGAAATTCATAAACAGCGGAACAGATGGGTAGAATACTTCGAGGAACTCCTGAATAGGCCGGCTCCAATGAATCCACTGGACATCGAAGCAGCGCACACAGATCTTCCTATAGATGTCAATCCACCAACGAAGGAAGAAATCAGAATGGCCATCAGATAAATCAAGAGCGGGAAAGCAGCGGGACCTGACAATATACCAGCTGAAGTACTGAAGTCAGACATCGAAGTAACTACAAACATGCCTCACCTTCTATTCACAAAGATTTGGGAGGAGGAACAAGTGCCGACGGACTGGAAAGAAGGACACCTCATCAAGATTCCAAAGAAAGGAGATCTGAGCAAATGTGAAAACTACAGAGGCATCATACTACTGTCAATGCCAGGGAAGGTCTTAACAGAGTGTTGCTGAACAGGATGAAAGACGCAGTAGACGCCCAACTTCGAGATCAACAGGCTGGATTCCGTAAGGATCGGTCGTGCACAGACCAAATTGTGACACTACGGATCACCGTCGAACAATCGAGTGAGTGGAACTCGTCACTGTACATCAACTTCATTGATTATGAAAAGGCATTTGACAATGTAGACAGGAGAACGTTATGGAAACTTCCTCGACACTACGGAGTTCCTGAGAAGATTGTCAACATTATCCGGAACTTATACGACGGACTACAGTGCAAGGTCGTGCATGGAGGACAGCTGACAGATGCATTCCAAGTAAGGATCGGAGTCAGACAAGGCTGTCTACGCTCTCCCTTCCTCTTTCTTCAGGTGGTTGACTGGATTATGAAGACCCCAACATCTGAGGGAAAACACGGAATACAACGGACAGCTCAGAACCAATGAGACGATTTGGACTTCGCAGATGACTTAGCCCTCCTATCACATACACATACACATACACAAATGCAGATAAAGACAGCCAGTGTAGAAGCAGTCTCTGCATCAGTAGGCCTCAGCATACACAAGGGTAAAACCAAGGTCCTCATTATGGAAAAAATAAATAGGTCAATGAGATAAAGATCAAGTTCGTCTCCTCACTGTATCATTCAAATTTATCAAAATAAGTATTTAGTTTAAACGTTTTATAACTCTCTACTCATATTAGTGTTATAACTTTTGTGCTGTGTGCCCTGTTAATGTATAACGTAACGATACCACGAATTAGAGATCAGTGACTTATCGATCGGACCTATGACGCGTAAGCCCGTATGAGCAGTCTAGAGCCCTGATTGGTCCTGTTTTCCGCCTAGCCCAGCCAGTTAATTCTAGAACACCAATCTCAGCCTCTGTAATATGAATCATTTATTTCAAATATAGGGGGTTTATGTACTAATCAAATAGACCACATCGTACCATAAAATAGGAAACAACATTTGTACAAGATTTGGCAAAATATTACTGTGAATTTGGGAGGTAGTGATTAACAGACAAGGAATAATTTAAGAATGGAAAATAGTATAATAACAGTTCATAGGTTAAAATAAAGTTTATGATAAGAGAGACATGAATATAAATAGTTGAGTTAATTAACAATTATACGTTAAAAATATACGCATAGTAGTGGTTCATAAATGGATCCCAAAAATTATCACTCATTATTCTTATCGGAACATAACTATTAGTACCATAAACATTAAGGAAAACGAGTAAATATTCAGATAGTTTAATGCCAATGTTATGAAACTTGAAGTTATGCTTGACTTATCACTGTTTACTTTTTTTTCTTAACGTATATATGTGTCAGATAGCAAGAGTAATGAGTCTCTGGGGCTATGCAACATACAGTAATAAAACTGCATCATAAGACGTTTTAATTTCCACAATTTGATCTGAAATATATTTGGTTTAATTATTCACCCTATTAGATTTAGCCATTTAGCCATACACTAATCACTTATTATTATCTTTATTCATGCCTTTCACTCCATAGTTTGTGACGCTTTATTAACTGGTGTTATAAAAAAAACGTATCAACTCATTTGTCAAATCACATTAATAGTGTCAATGTACATTACTGATTGTATTTAGTTTGTATTTGAATAATTAAACAATAAATTATGATGAAGCAGTAGCTTATACCTCTAAACAAAAACTTAAACAGCGCAATAAAATAATAAATAACAGTTCCCATGAATTGCATAGTCAACAACGTCTATTTTCATATATAAATTCAATCAGACTAAATGTTGCATACTCTGAAAAGCTCATATTGATACTTTTTTTTTAAAATAAAACACTTGTACAAATAATCTGATAAATACAAAGCAATATATAATTAGTACTAGAAGAGGTTTTGTGGAGATTTTAGTAATTTCAGTTGTTGAGATCATGAAATTAATAAAATCTCCACAAAACCCCTTCTGATACTAATCAATATATGCTCACTAGTGACTGGCTTCAAGATGTATATCCTGGAGTTCTAGTGAGCAGTGACCAGTTGAGTTCAACCGAATCAATCGTGAGTTAGTAACTCACTGATGACAATGGTGGATGTGTCACTCAATTTCGTGGATTAGTTGGAGTTAGACATTAACACCATTGGATGCCGTCTCAGTGGTCTAGGGGTTAAGCGCAAGCGCTCGAGAATGATGCGGCCTGGGTTCGAATCCCACGAGGCGGAGTCGTGGATGAGCGCTGCTGAGGAGTCCCACAATAGGACGAAACGGCCCTTCAGTGTTTCCAGGTTTTCCATGGTGATCTAGCTTCAATTGACTCATGATCTCAATAATTCAATATATAGTTGATTATACAGTTAAAAGTCAGGTATGAGATTAATTTGACTGTAAAGATGCTATGCTTCATTAAAAGATTTATAATGTACGCTTCGTTTTGATGATTTGATTATTTTATTTCTTGAATGTAAGAATCATGCAGTGGCTGTGCTTCGTTGACCAATCACCCTCGTAACCGTTACCATATAATCCTCAACGGTGTTTGAAATCAGAAGGTAAAGAGAGCAGCGACTACAGTTTTATTAGCAGATAACTCAGACCACAAAGCGGTGAGGCAAATGAATGAGTCAGCGAGCCGAGAGAGTAGTGTGTAAATGTATATATATAGGGAAATGAATGGGTCTTCGAATCAACTAAGCAGCTAATAATAAAGCTAGCAGCATGAATATATGCGTAGGCGGTAAGCAATGTTTAAGCATACATATTTCATGCAAGCACAACAATAATAAAGGTACAATAAGTTGTCATAGTACGGATGACTTTGTCCGCCGAATAAGTTAACAAAAACGCTTAACTGGGTTAAATGAGAACAATCTCAATTGCACGTGAGTTGCTATAATCATACGACTACAAGTAGTTGCCAAAAAAAACGAAGGCCCAGATCCTTATTTTCGAGTGGCTCAACATCATGCAAATAAAACATGAAATTAGACCTGAATATTTTTTTCAGTAAATTATTGATTTGGATCAAAGAATAATGAGTCCATTCCGATTGTAGACTTGTTTAATCAAGTATTCGATCTCTAATTTGGTGCACAAAAGAGATAGAATGCAAGCGTTTTCAGTTAAGTTACAATGGGCTTATAGACGCAGATCTCTTTCTTGTTCAAACTGAACTGCTATCCGGGTCACTCTCATTTTACTAATGATTCAGCAAGGGGTGTATTCTAAGGTTCTTCGTATATAACTAGCTTATGCTCTTGAACTACATAAGACTACGTCAATCATGTGACTATTAAATTTTTTAATTCATTTCTATTGGCAGTTTTCCTGTAACCACTTTTATTACTAATCCTGAAACCTTATCCGCATACCTTTCTATCGTATATTTATTTTTCTATCTTATTGGATCATTTTTCTGTAGCAAATGTATTTTAGATACATTTTTATTACGGGACGCAAATCAGTTTATTTTGGCACACTTTAGTTCATTTCCGATCATACTAGTCTGTTACAATTCCAGGTTAATTCACTCCATCCAATGTAATTAGTAGTCCTTCTAATACGATTTCTATACAATTAAAGATCGATCAAATTCTAGTGTCATTCTAATACTACTCCAGTTACAGTCCATTTCAATTCCTATTCCTTCTTATTATAAATCGGTTTTGTTTTCTATCATTGTACACACTGGTGATTTAAATTATTTAAACATATATTCAATAATACTACGATTAGAGTTCTCATTTCATTCGTCATCGGTCATTGAGATTAGTAGTATGAACGCTACATCAACACCAAATATTCGAAAATCCCTCAGTAATTTTTATTACATATGATCAATTAAGTGAAATACAAGCCGATATACTACTTACTTATTACGTTTCTGAACATTTATCGTGGGCTCTGTAACCCTAAAATAGAATAACAAAATATCGAAGATAAATTTTCTCTTGGATCCATTGTTATAATTAGTTGAATAAACATTATACATTTTAGTACAGCCTGTTAACAACATCCAAAAACAGTTTCACACCGGAATTATGTATGAAGCAGAACTAGTCACCCTATATATATATATATATATATATATATATATATATATATATATATATATATATATATATATATATATATATATATATATATATATATATATATATATATAAAGTTCTCTGGACCGGATGGCTTAATTGTGAAGCTTTGTTATTCTGGGTAGCATCATCAAATGTCACTTCATTATGCATTTGATAAGTGGCCGATAGAACAAAACAGCTAATGAAAATAAAATAAAACATGAAAATAAGAGAAGCTCTGAAGACAAAAGTCGGATATGATGTCATCAGAACAAACCTACGACTTGATACTTGTGGAATATTCAACATGACCACTTCTATGTGAAATAAGAGCTGATGATACTGTCCCGCTCAGAGAATTCAACATAATACTAGAAAACTCCACCTGAGCTACAAGCTTTCTACATTGATTCAGTATAAAGAGATTAAAGTAATGCAAACCAATTACAATCACTTACATAATTGACGAGTCAAGTGTTTTTCCAATATTGAAATACGCTAGTCTGTCAAGGATACGTTCCATCTTATTCGAATCAGATACAGAAAATTGAACCTGGATTTGAAAATAATTACAGCAAAAATATTAAAAAAACATGGGCTTTTTCATCGTTTCTCTGTGATAAAATTTCATTCATAACAAATAGTACTAAAATATTTGGAAGCATTAGGGCAGATCAACCCAAAAAGTACATTTCAATAAAAAAATTAATCCAAATAATTTTCTAATAGTTGAATTCACGATTCGATCTAAGCCAGACCACCAATGAAAACCCAGAAGCACTGTATAGCCGTTTCGTCCTAGTACGGGACTCCTCAGAAGTGCGCATCTACGATCCCGCATACGGGACTCGAACTCAGGATTCTCGATCTCGCGAGTGAAAACTTAATCTCTAGACCACTGAACCGGGATCCAACGGTGTTAATGTCTAAGTTCAATCGATCCATGATCTTTCGCAATCATTCATCCATTGTGCGAGGTAGATACCTATCTACTCGACATAGATTGGACTCCAGTGGTCATGGCTTCTCACTAGAACTCCAGGAAATCCATCTTGAAGCTAGTAACTAGTGAGCACATGATAATTATTATCAGAATGAGGGTTCAAGTCCCGCATACGAGACCGTGTATGCGCACTGCTGATGGATCCCATACTAGGACGAAACGGCTATACAGTGCTTCCAGGTTATTAATGGTTGTCGAGCTAAGATCAACTCATGAATCCAACTAATGAAGAACACAAATAAATTAAAATGTGGAAGTAATAACAGGAGGAATATACATTTTTAATAGTGAAGTTTTCAGATGTCTAATAGGAATTTTGCTTAAATCATGAATACTATTTGGAAGATAATTCCCACCCATAACTTTAGGTGAAATTGTCGGTCGCCAACTTTTATCTTGATAACTAGCTAATGAAAATTACATACGAAAGAAAAACATATTCTGTGTTTCCTTTATTCCTCCTAACTGACATGAAAAGTTACAAAAGAAAGATTCCTATGAATAATATTCACAGTCGAGATCTTGAAAAAATTCATAAAAGTATATGTATTCATAAGAATATTTTGTGTTAAAATAACTAACTCAGGTTTCTTTTACAAGAAAATATGACAAGTATCATACCAATCGAAATCCATTTAGATATTACAGCGTGTCTAGTATCAAAATATAGGTTCGACATTAGTCAATTAATTTTAGATCAATTAACTAATCAGAGAAAAAAGACTGAGGTTATGTGGGCAGCCTTATTTCTAAAAGCCAAATAATAGGGTATACATACGATGTATATTCATAGACTATCAATCTATCAGAAACATATAGACAGTGACCTTTTCTATGTTAATAATTCACTTACTCATAAAAATCTTCATATACGTGTGTATCTGTTATTAAAAGACTGAGACCATATGTGATCCATTGGGTTTTCAACTACCAACTAACTCAGAGGAATGTACTGGCATTGAAATGTAAATAATGTGAATAGAATTCAGTGAAGCTGATTGATAATGTTTCGAAGGGAGTAAGAACTCACAAATTCATTGTATTAGTTAAAGAATATCTGAGTTCTTATGTTCATTTACTCACACTGTTATGGAGCGAACTTTGACTCATCCTTTTCTTATCGAGAAAACATACCACCATACAATGAAGTGAATTTATCTAGCGGTACATGTTATATGAGTTTTGTTCAATAGACCTAAAAAGGGCTGTACTCAGGTTTAAAACATCTCTTAATACCTACTGAACAATAATGTTAACATAAAAAATTTAAATAAATGTGTGAACAACAGTAGACGATTAGCGAAATCCTGGATAGTACACATTCATGTGTATATGTCAATCAAATAATTAAGTTATATTTGACCGATAAATCTCTCGTTTCCTTAATTTTTTTATTTCTAAAAATGAGTTTAACTTAATGAAATTATGTCACTCATAGTGCATTCACATCATTATAAGTATTTATTATTATGTTAGGCACCCTTTTGGATAATGTATGACAAATATTCATCAATAAAAGTTGTGGATTCTATAGAAACAATCAAAAAATGGTATTGGTCATTCAACTTGTAATGGGTATTTTTAAATGAATTTTGACCAGTTTTAGTTGGCGTATATGTATCCTGTGTGAATTGTTTTGATAAAGCCGCTATATTACAAGTTTTATAGTCACATTTCATCAATTCTTTAAAAACTTGATCGTGATATTGTTCATGGAATCTAACTAATTGTTACTGTGTTATGTGGAAGAGATGAGCTTAAAACAGTGTAACAGCAATACAAAGTAAATTTTGTTGTATGAATTCTTTTTTGAACTAAACAGGTTATGGACTCATAAATCTAATTGATAAGGGTTTTGAGAACTGATTAGTTATACTCTAAAATCCATCAGATATTAGACCAGATATTTAGTTAAAAAAGATTCAGCTGTTTAGTATACCAATTATAGAAACTTATTCCTCCTTGTTAATTGGGTTTAATGATGCCATTTACTTTGACAAAGCCATAAATATACATAAAAAATTCTAAATTACCAGTTTAGGCCTTCTAGTTCTCTGTGCTAGGTGATTTAGACAGGAAGCTTTAGCCGTCTTTCTAAACATTTTCATCAGCACAAACTGCGTGGAGAAATGAGATATTTTTTGGCTTTAGAGCTGATTATAACGGTTATATTAGTGGGACGCATTTTTATTATAATAATTAATAATTAATTAATTATTAATTAATAATAATTATTAATTTTTTAAACCAACCTACCGCACCACATTTCTGTTAGCTCAGCGGTTACTGGAATGTAAGTTGATTGTATTGTTGAGTAATCTTTTACAAAAAACGAGTTTTCAGCCTTGAAGATTGCGATGAAATTTCAAGGCTTTATCTGCTATCGAAAAACCGATTTCTAGTAGTACAATGAGGCAATTAACCAGCGCTTCTTCATAGTTAATAGTCTTTCTGCATATATCCGCACTTAATGAAATCCTCATTCAAATATAGTACCCCTATAAAAATGTGTTTTCTAATCAAGTTCAGAAACTTTCATTGTTCAACCACAGTCAATAAGAGAAAGGAAGAAAATAGTTAGAAAACTATTTGCACAATTTTCACATAAGATTTTACAATCTATGGCCCAGTTTCAAGTGAGTATAACTTTCACTTTAAACTAACAATCAGTTAGTAAACTTATTACTAATTTAGGGTTCTGGAATGAATGTGATTGGGCAATAAGTAAAATATGATTACATCAGTTTTCACTTATTTGACAGATTCTCTAAAATCGCTCTTAGTAATTAGCTACCAGGATGGAGAATATTTCGAAATTGAGGTAGTTTTGTAGTTTGAATCAGAAATTAGGGTAAAATAACCATAACATTTACGATGGCTTTCGTGGAAATTAAACAGTTTATGCATAAGGGATCGGTAAATATATTTTGATAATTTCGAATGAATTAATAACAAGAACTGGTCATTAAATATCGGAACTATTTTGTGTACTTCAAGGGAATAATGAGAAATACTCGTCAAAATGATAGAAACAATAACGCACAATACGTTCTCATAGCTAAGAATAGAGTACTAGCAATATCAGAACCGCACATAAAGTTCTACAGACTACAGAGTTTAAAGAATTCAACATCATCTAGTGATTATAGATCAAAATACATTAATTTCAGTTCTATCGCAAAGTGAGTATTCGCGAACCAATGAGATAGTTGTTGGATATAGTAGACGCAAACAAGTAGGTTCGAAAAGCCATGTTTCAAGTCTACTTAAAATACTTCATAACTTGGAGCAACAAATTATTGAAGCATTAATCATATGTCCAGAGGTTACAACACTAGGTTATACCACATTGCATTCTATCGAATCAACTATTGGTAACCACTTCTCAATGGTTTTAACTCTGTCATTTGAAATAGTTCCTACTGAATTGCTTCTACTGATAAAAAGTTTTGAAAGAAAACGAAATACTACCTGTTTATCATTAAATACCAGTAAGCAGTAGTTTGAAAGTTCGTTTTATATCTACAATCGATTGGTCACTGAGCAGTGATCATTGTTATGTTTGTCTAGTCCTCTAGTGCTGACTGAATTCTACTGTTCAAGTTGAATACGGCCATCAATCCGAGCGACTCAAAATCATTCATTTCTATCAAACGAAATATTATTATGAATAATGAGTAAAAAGTATCCTAGTAACTTTACGATGTACCGTTAGTTAGTGGATAACATTTAACACTAATTGCCGAATTAGATCAATCATAAGAAAAAATGTGACATGAAATTACAGAATACAGCTCCAGGTATCACATACTCCGGATACTATTGGTATATTGGAAATGATTTGCCACTTTTCCTTATTTCATTGTAGATCATTACTACTGTCAATCACTTACCTAATTTCGGTCCACCTACAACCATTATTTACCTAGAAGCAAGCAGTGTTTGCACAAAATCGAATTTGAAAATTATCAACTTGTAAAACTACATATTTTACGTAACAAAATGATCCGCCAAATATAAATCTATATTTCTTGGTCTATTTAAAGAGCTAAAGTATAACTGATTCAGAGCAAGCTATAGAGAATACTGGTTAAACTGAATAACTGATTTTTTTTCTATGAAATTACCTTGCAAATACGATACATTATTCATATAAATAAACATTTGCAAAAACTTACAATAAAGTATAATTTATTTCTACTAATTGACCATTCATCATCATATATTTGTTCCTCAGTTAAAATATTTCTGACAGACTGGAATAAAATAAGACAGAACAGCAACAACAACAACATAAAAACTCGTGACAAATCTATAGAACAAAAGTAACACATTACTAAATAATGAATACATGAAATGGTGAAATGTTTTTTTTATTTTTAAAAAAAGACCTGTTTAAAAGATAACAGTGATATTGATGTAATCTAATTAACGTTATATCAAATTGACGGTTTGTTGATTGAGACAAACAAAAGTGATCTTCAAGTTAAATAGCCATTTGAGCTATCAGACCGCACTAAAAAAAAAGCCTTTCTGTCATTATAATTGATATAACCTTTTCAGAAAACGTAAGCTAAATGTATTACATATAATAATATAAAATTCTATCTAGTTGCAGGAAAATGACAAAGAAAAAACTCGGGAAAAAAGTGAATGGGTTGAAAATAATTTATCCATTGGTTGGCACTTTATTTTTAATTTGAAGTTAGACACTAAAATCAATTCATATGCGGAACATAAAACAACATCAACAACCGATCGAGCATAAAGAGCACCGGAACAGAAGTAAGCAAATAAACGGAATAAAAGAGTACGAAAAAGACTTGTTATTCTCATTCACACATTGAAAACGTCATTGAGGGGTTGAAAAAAATATATATAATAAGATTGTCATAGAAATCAGTGATTATGAAAATGGTTTGTACAACATAGTTATGGACAAGAAATTGATAACTGAACGATGAATGTATTTGTTACAGTGAATGAATTGAATAGGCAACGATACAATTTGGCCGAATAGTGACTGCCAATGAGACTGAATTATCATAGTAAGCTCTTAATTGAACTGTTATCAGAAAACAAAACCACTAGTCAGAAAAATAGATTTTTTCTTCAGTAAAATATTAGGCACATAATAAACATGATTTTAAGTCAATCGACACACAAATGACCACCAAACACTGATTTGTTAGGTCGCTCATATCCCAGTGGAATTAAGGTATAAATATCAAGATAAATTCTGACCCAGCACAACATATATGATAAGTTAAATGTAAAATTGAAAAATAATCCGAACAAAGCATGGATAGAAATAGTGAATTAAAAATAACCTTAAGCAGACATTCAATTATCTATATTAATTGTTACTCTGGTTGTTAGAAGGGACATTGGCCTACTCTCTTCCATGAAGGGTAACAGGTGTAAGTAAGTAGGTTAAGCAGAAAGAGACTTGGGAAATAATAATATTGAAGTATTTATTAAACACCTGACTATGGTATGTTTTTGATAAATGATCTTGTTAGTATTGGCAACTAAAGTAAAATTTCAAAAACAGTCGCCAACAACCTACATGATCAAATATTACTAGGCGATCCTTTATCACTTCGACCTTGTCGAAAATGTAGTAGTTTGAGTACTTCACTTTAAATCGATATTCAAACTGTGACGAGCAAGATTGACATAATGGCGGTGGTATTACAATTAGGTCAGGTCACACACAACAAGTACAAACGAACAACCAAACGAATAATCAACACCATTAACTAGATCGACTTAAATAAATACTGCTATTTGAAAACTATGCTCATTTGGCATCATTCAGTTTGTCCAGACTACGCTCATGATCATCACATAATATTTGTGCATTTATCATTCAGTTACATTTACGAATTATGTCAACTGAACAAACACATTTTTCAATTTATGTGTCATTCCATCTAAAAAGTTTGTATTGTTTGACCTGTTTTCTCATCACATCCATACAATCTTATCATAGCTATGAATTTCACAAATATGTGAATAATAAAACTGCAGTTTTACCGTTATCACCTTATTTACATTTATTTTATTATTGTTAATAATTTACATGAAAAATAAGTCGAATGATTACAAATGACTAATTTGAAAATAGGTCATTGTCTGGGGATTTGCTTTTGTGATCTAACTGTATTTGGTAGTGTTACGTAGCTACCATGAAAGAATGAGAATATGGTTTTCGAGACTTTAAAGCAGTTACATACACTCTAAGAAAGTGACATGCAATGAAAGTAGCTGACAACTACTGACTTTGTTGATCACTACTAGTGAGTTAACAATCGTGAATGTGTGTTGAAAACGATGGATTTCTATGTAATACAAGTGAGAATTTGAGATTAACTTTGTTACATCAGATTACTGCCGATTTCGCTCCACAAAAGTGATACAATTTATCAAAAACAAACCTAACAGAAACCCGAAAAATATCTGTTTAATCTTTTACAGTAATAATATTTAAAATCGTAGTTATTTACTTTGTGTGCAGTCAGAAGGATTTCCATGATATATCCAAGATACTTGGTAAACAATTATCAGTTATCAGAAGGAGTTAAGTGGAGATTGTAGTAATTCCAATAGTTGAGGTCATCAGTCAATTGAAGTTAGACCACCATGGAAAACCTGGAAGCACTGGAAGGCCGTTTCGTTCTATTGTGGGAACCCTCAGCAGTGTTCATGCACGACTGCTCCTCGTGGGATTCGAACCCAAGACCTATCATTCTCGCGCGCTTGCTCTTAACCCCTAGACCATTGAGTCGGCATCCAATGGTGTTAATGTCTAGCTTCAACTAATCCATGAAACTGAACGATGCATCCATCAATGTCGTCAGTGAGTTACTATCTCACAACTGACCCGGTTGAACTCAACTGGTCACTGCTTCTATCAGTTAATCGATCATTTCAGATATCCGAGAAGAAAATGTTTTGTGACCGTAACAACATGAATCTGTAACTACGTATTTCCTGAAGCTGAAAGTTTAAAACTTTCACATACGTAAAGACTACCAATTAATCTATATTTTTTCACTAAATATTCAAAAGAACCACATCTTATGATTTCACACGGTAGTATTCACTTATACGATTGACTTATATAAACGTTCTATAAACAGTGTTATTTTAAATGGAAGTTGGTGCATTCCCATTCTAGAATTCTTTATTGTAAATTTAGTGTTGAGACGAATTACTGGAGAATGTTTTCAGTGTTTTAAGAATGATGGCTATACTAAACTAGTGATTTATATCAGAACTTGGTATAGTTAATAAATGTATTTTGTAAGAGCTCTGAAAGGATATTACCGGAAAAAATATGTACTTCTCACCACTCCTGTTCAACTGGAACATCAAAAAAGCCTGAATAGCGACATCCTGAGTTGTCTATATCCGGGCTTTACCATTTAACATTGATGAAAATTACGTTATTCAACGAAATTGTTTGCTGATTGTTTATGACATAACCAATTACAGCCAAATGTTTAATTTTGTAATCTTGTTCTAAGTACTTTATTAATTCCGTAGTTGACATTCAAAAATGAATAGATTATTTTCTGTTGATTTATTGGTCTTTCAAAAAAGTGGTTAGATAGTAACAGGGTCTCTAGTAACAAAATATAGGATATATCGTACTGCTAAGTTGAACTGAACATCTGATAGAGCTTTCATCTATCATGAAACATATAATTGTTTCGGTATAATCTCCGGTCTCTACAAATGGTGAGACTTCAAAGTTTCTACACGACCAAAAACGTGTCATTTAGGACTGTTGGTTACTAAAACTATCAGAAATACAGAAACAAATTCTGGAGACAGGCTTCTTCCATATCACCTGTCCCAAGACGTATTTTTGCTTCAGTACTGGGAAATATTAACATTAGAAATGCTAGTTTCCCGACAAGTTTTGTAATTTTTACTTAAAATCACAACTAAATAGTATTCAACGACAAACGATCATCAGTTTCACTTTATCGTAACCGTGTCTGGTTTCTCAAACAGCTGATCGAACAAAGCAGACAGTCATACTTCTGTCGTTAACTAGTCGCACAAAAACAAATAAAGGGATTTGGTAACTTCCCACATCTTTCTAAGAACCACCACCTTGTTCACTATCCCAATACGTAACTTTGTATTACAGTACAAGTATATAACTAGTATCCAAACGCCGATACGTTCGCTTTATGAATAAGAAAAACCAAAACGTGGACAAAACTAAGGTATGTGCGAGTCAGTCAATGCCATGATGTTCTATATCTGAATGAATCGAAATGTATGTGACATATTTAACTTAAGGAAATTTGTTATAACAGAGGTACACAAATCACGCGCCAGAAAAAAGAAAACATGAAGAAAGGCTTGGACTAAACTCGAAGACCTATTTGACTCAAAAAAAAAGATTGTTAAGGCAAAAACTTCCACGAAACCGACTGTTATCCTGGAGCTCAGTGAAATGTAAAGAAAGAAACCAACTGAAGATACCAGCTCCTGAATTTTTGCATGAAATCTAAAACTTAATTTTAGATAGCTTGTACCTTGTTAAGTGCTGTGTGAGAACTGAGTAAAATCTACCAATATTTAATCCCCAATACGCTTAAAATTAATGAACACCTAAACACCCAAGAATAGAAATGGATTAGAGCTATCCATGAAATGACGGTGAGAGTTGCAGGTTTCCTCAGGAAAAAACAATAGAAAGTAAATTGAATTGAAATGTGCATAACATTTAAACATGATCTATGGATTTGTCTAAGTAACTTAACAGTTCATAAAATTTTGAATTTAAAGAACTATCTAGAAAATTATTCAACTTTATGGCTACCAGAAATTCTCCCAGTAACCATAAAACTCAACTATCACTCCTAACCTCAGCCCTTTTTTACGACAACTAATTTAACATATAAAGGCCGATTGTTCGAGTCAAAACTGTTTATCCATTGTAATGGTATTGCTTTCTTCTTTTTGTTTGTTTTATAACTAAAAACTATTTTTCGATTAACCAACAAGTGGTCCAAGGTCGTTGATATAGTTTCATTCTACCGAAGAAATCAAGTTGGTTCATGAAATCCAATTAACTTCAAAACATTCTATTAACTGTTTAATTACATTAGCTGTAGTAAATTATGGTACAGAAATTTGGCTGACAATTCTATTTTAATTCTGAGGACGAAGTGATTCTTAACGGGGATCTCACTAACTTCTTTTATGTAGATTCATAATCTTACCAACTGAATTTCTTAGTCTAGAACTCTACGTGTGATATTCACACCATTCACTCAGTGGTTCTACCATACTCAAACAGTAATTTTAAAATACACATTCTTGGGTACTTGTAATTTCCGAAGATTTTCAGTAGACTATATATTAGTATAGAATGTATCAGTGGGTACATACAATTCTTCGGAAAGGTGTTCAATTATACCGCCGATAGCTAAAATGATGATAGTTGATAATTACCAACCAAACTATGGACATCCACGCCACAATTTTGCAAGTCTGTTAAGTGTAATGGAACTTCTGAAGTATGTTAATTGGCTAATTAACTTCACTTTACTGTCTACTTGATTACTTAAATAAGGATTGAATATCGGCTTTAGAGTATCATTTTAATTCTACTGGGTGAAAAACATTCCCTTTATGATTTTATGCTCTTGACGCTAAAACGACAAAGTATATTATAAGAATGAACCTAAACAAGTACATAAATTTGTGTGCATATCGATTCATTATTGAACTGACTTAGGTAAAAAAAAGTCCTTACCGTATGTCAAAATCAAATAATAAATTATCTTAAAATGTAGTTAGTTTATTCTGAAATTATTATGGGCTAGCAGCACAAATGGACTCCTTAATTCATTTGTCTTATTGTCAATGAAAAACCAATCAATATGAAAATGGTTATGGCATTAAATAATATAAGCTAACACCGTTTCTACAATTATCACTGAAGGTTTAAAAATTGTACACTCACCTCCTCCATTGGAATTTCTTCTAAAGGCATGTTAGCATCCACATTAGGCGAACATAATCCATTGGAATCATCCACCTTTCTGGGAAAAACTGTACGTATCAAACACGCCATACTATGTACACAAAGTTGGAATGCATACAAATCACAAGCCTAATATTTGAATTGTGAATACCAATAGCGATTTTAACCAATCAACTAGAGAAAAAAAAACAAATGCACAGGCACGAGTATACATGCAAATCAACAAACCCTAATTGGAAAAGCCTGTTCAAATTTATAGGAATTAGATAATTAACCAATCAGTGCTTGATCTTAACAAAAGGTTTGATTTTAACGAATAAATTTTTGATCGGATATGAGTTTCACTAACCTTAGTCGTATACGTAAACATCTGTCTTTCTCACAATGTGAAGAGTTGCACTTTAGAATTGTGTAATTGTCCAGACTTTTCAAAAACTGGAATTCGTTAGTTTTCTGAAATCGACAAAATTCTGGTGCAAAATATTTTATCTACCCTATACTGTGTCTTGTCATTGTTTTAGAAAAATAATCAATTTCATCTTAGTTATTATGGAAGCTTATGAGGGTTATGTTCACTTGTTTTATGCTTGAGAAATTTCTTAAAATATAATCATAAGTATACTGAATCATCTATTGACTTAAGCAACAAGACGCGTGATGAATTATTTTCCTTAGACTTTATGATGTCTGAATGCGTAAGTCACACCCAGTTAATTCACAGAACATTTCTCTTGATATAATGTATGCTTAATTAAAGCTTAAAAAGTTTGAATGGCAATTACGATACACGAAAGGATATATAACGACACACATATTCTGAGAAAATCAAACGATACGATTATAGCATTCTTAAGATGTTTATGTACATTGATAAATCAAAGATAAGTAGATTATATTGGGTCTTACCACTGAAAAGAGTTCCACTGACTCCTCGTCAAGTAATAAGACAGTTATTGTCAGTGCTGCTCATTAATATGGTGAAATAATCTCATAAATATAAAAAAGGAGATAAAATAAGCTGTGACAGGAGAGGAAAATAGCTTTACTCCCCAATAATGTAGTCAGCTATTCGTTAGAGGTTAATTACCATTGTTAAGACTTCTGATTTTACACCCTAATTTGAACTCGAATTCACAAAGAAGTGTTTGTAGAGGTGATCTTGATCAGTTTCAAATCAATTACTTACTTATTAGTTTAGTCGAGCATTTTAAGTTAAAAATAAAAGACTGATAAAACGGAATGAAGTTATTAACCATATAATTTAAAACAAAGCAACAAAGACACATAAAAGCCAATCAGATTATTTATCGCCAATTAGCAACATAATTATGAACTTGAATAAATGAACTGTTATTCAATAACGAGTTGGTTGGTTGGACTATAAAAGAGGTTAAGAATTAGATTTTTGAAACAGGCTTTTCATAGTTCCTTTGGTTGATTGTTATAAAATATTTCATATATTATTGTCACGTAATATAACAAAAGCCTAGGAAACTTGGAAAGAAAAAAACATCGGAGTTAAACTCACTAGATTGTGATCACAATTGCTTAGAGAACAAGGGTCAGGATGTTTAGTCCCTTGTTGTTAGGAAGTCAATCGAAAGTTAACTACGGAGTCTTTTTTAATGCAAAGGTCAGGTTTAAGCCTTTTAATTACTATGGATCCCATGAATCATAAAACTTTAGGGTTGAACTGTTCACTGATCACTCTCAATCTACTCATTGCATCTAAATTGTATCCTCTGTTTAGTAGTTGTAGTCTTATCTGGCCGTTTTGACCATCTAAGGTGTAGGTTCTTGGGAATATATTCAATAAAGCGGGGTGAAACCCGAATTGCTGTCCTTTTATTGTAGTGAATGGAATCAGTTGCATGAAATATATTTCTGAACTGAATCTGGTCTATCAGCTTTATAAAAGTCAGAAAGTATCTTGCAGTCTGCCTAATACTGATAAACCGAAATCGTATACAAAGTTGTATTTCAATGAACAACGACGATCAACAAAACTCAGTACCAAAAATGCAACCAATTAAATTCCATTCTAGTCGCCCACTCGTCTGACTCATACTGAACTTGCTGCGACTTGTCTTAACTTCATAATCAATCAATAAACATTGTAAATATTTTGTTACGTATAATTTATTCATTTGTTGTTGCCTTGCTGTTTTTGTTCGATGTATTTGTGTTTAATTCATCTCCCATTCTTGTATTAATTAAAAAAGAATTCTTGTTCTTTGATGGACAGATAAAATATGGAACTTAAAGTTTTATTTATTTCAAATATGGTAGGTTGAAAATGTGTTTTTGTAATATATCAAAATTCAGCTTTCACTATTTGTAAACTTCAGCTTTGTGATATGAAGATTAGTTCTCAATTACATATGATCAAGAATGGACATCATCCTAAGCAAGTTTAAACAGTAATTATATTAAAAGTATCAAGACTGAAAACCGGTTTCCTAAGATGGACATTACCTAAATACAGTTCATTCGTATTAGGACATAAAGGAAATTGTACGTTATCTCATCTATAGACTTATTTAATTCTGTGCATTATGATACTTCACGAGAAAAATATTTACGTGGCAGAAAGAGTATTCTCAACTAGAGAAAATAAACTTATCATTACACTGTAAACATAAAGAGTTCTTTAAGTGTTGAAAAAACTAACATTCTGATTCACTGAACAGTATTCAAGTTCGAAATTCCTAAACCCACTTGAGAAATACAGAGGTATCACACTACTATCATTTCCAGGAAGTTCTAGACAGAATGTTGTTGAACCAAATAAAAAAGTCCATCAGACACCTAACTTCGAGAACAATGGGCTGGACTTCTTACAGAGTGATCATGTGCCGACGAAATTGAGAAACTACGGATCATTGTTGAGTAATCAATTAAGTGAAATTTTTCATCATACATCAACTTCCTTGTTTATGAGAAAACATTTAACAGTTTGAATAGGAGAACCTTATGGAAGCTTCTTCGTCTGTAAAGGAGAGCTTAGGACAATCGGTTGGAGACTGCTGTTCGGCGGTCAATGTTTCACGAGGGTTAACAGGCATATATAAGTAATTAAGTTTATTTTTGTGTCAGATATTTGTGACTTTTGACTTACAAGTTTAGAAATCTGATCCATTAAATAGACTTGAGTGTTAAACTAGGAATCATGTTAATCAAGTTAATAGTCATAAGTCTACTTGGTTAATCTAAGTTATTTACTGGTAACACAAAGTGTACCTGTGTTGTCAAATACACATAAAGTTTCTAGGGATATTCGTACTAAAATGTCGTTATCCAAGATCTTTCTATCCTAATACCATCTTTGATTCAGATAAATTCAGTTAACCCTTGTCGAGTGCAAAACACAAGCTACAATCATACCTTCTGATTAGAAATTTTAATATTAATTGGCATAATTATAAATATAGTTGAAAAAAATGCAGATTCATATATATATAACTCCACTGTAACCCTTCTAGGATTACTACCGGTCCTGAGCCAAGATAGAGGGTTGAAAATGGGGTCAGCAACATTTCAAAGAAAACGACCTCGCTAAAAAGCTGGTAACCAGAAAAATTCATTTAAACCATTTACACTCTACTCTGAGAGCTGAAGAGTTATGACGTCTCTTTGTGAAAGCTGAGATTATTTGAAAGTCATGAGGTCGATGACCATTCTGATAGCCAGAGCAATAATCAATATAGGTATATAGAATGTTCGAACAATATGAGAGACGAGATGACTAAACCAGTAGCTACGGAAATGAGGAGATACAACCAAGCGGTTCTCGGAATAAGTGAGACTCATCGGATCTAAGCTAGACAGAGAAGGTTAACTTCAGGAGAGATGCTGTTATACTCTGATCATGAAAAAGGAAATTTATTCCGCACACAGAAAGATTTATACTGATGCTGTCTAAAGAAACATGAAAAGCTTTTACAGGATGGGAATCTCATGGATCCAGTGTTTTTACGTCTGCAATGATAGTTTAGCTTCGATTGACTCATGAATTTAACTGTGAACATTTATTTGGTGCTATGCAATCCCAAACGATAGCAACGTCGACGAAAAAGATCAATATTATGAAAGGCTGTTGACGATTGTAGAAAAGTGCCACGGAAAGATCCTGACCATCATGATGGAAGACCTAAACCTCATGGTCGGAATCGACAATACTGGGTATGAAGATATCACGTGACGACATGGACTAACAGGGAAAAAGGAAAGACAATGGTGACAGATTTGCAGATCAATGTGCCTTCAACAAAATGGTTACGGGTGATGCCACTTTACACACAAACACATACACGAAGCTACATGGGTCTCACTGAACCACATTGCAGTGAACCAAATCGATCACATTTGCATCAAAAAAAGTTCAAAAGGTCGATGGATCGATATATATATATATATATATATATATATATATATATATATATATATATATATATATATATATATATATATATATATATAATACTCACTTATTTGACCTGTCACTCACGATTATTGACACTCCTTATTCAAAAACAGACTGTGTCAAGCTGTTAATAGTAAGTTTAGACTGATTTTCTCCCCATACTTTTAGACATCTTGGTTACTATAACGGGTGCTTAAATACAGAATTATGACTATCCACTCATATTTCTTGATTTAGAGTAACAGGTTCTAAACTTCAATAGAATAATAACGGATCTCTAAATAAAATACATAAAATGAAGTGTCAGAATCGTTTCAATTAAATCAATTCTTTAATGAATACCTAATACTGACCTCAAAGTTGTACATGTTCAGCTTAGTCTATGTATCCTCATAGTTATTAGGAATACCATTTTATTAAATTCACTTTAGTATTGATTTACTGGATTTGAAACATTCATAGTGAATTATTTGCTGTAATTGCGATAATTGGGACATACTTTCTCTGTATTGAACTTTATAAAAATAATTAAATAATCGATAAACGTTATTTCATAAGTCATGGAATATAATTCGTTTTTATGCTAAATGACATATCACTTTCGTTTACTGTAACTATCACTAAAGGCTTTCCTTTTATTGGTAAGAATCCCTGAACATGATTCGTGGTTCTTTCTAGGTGACTCAAGCGCAATGTGAAATTTAAAAGACAACAGCTATACAATCGGAACCGTAGATAATAGACAACATGATGCTCGACTGAACTAATGAAAACTGAGCTATTCAAACTAATCATTAATTGATATTATTTTGTCTAGTACCGAATGATGATTGACTTCTGATGGCCAAGTTTTCATCACTTAAGAATATTACGCCTACAACTATTTACTCACTTTAACTTACTCTTTTCTTTAATTCACTAAGAATACTCATAACGGAGAATGCTTCTGGAATTCACTTACACATTTAACTACTCAGTTCCTTAATCTACTGTTCAACTATAAACT